ATTGGCGCACAGAAGGAGAGCTTTGCCTTTAAGCAAGCTGTAAAGCTCGGAGCAAACGTTGTAGGTAAGTAAAGGGGCAGCTATCAAACTCACCTATGTAAACTGACTCTGCGAGGGAGACCAACTGAATGAATTCAGACCAATGCAGAGGGTTCGTCACATTCCTGATAGAGCCGAGACGGCGAAAGGCTTTAAAACACTGATGGAAACTTAGAACTTTCGGTTTCATTGTAAGAAGCATATTCCTATATAGTTTTCTGCATCTACGATTATAACTTCTATAGTGATAAATAATTCAGGGTTTCTCCATGCATTGAATTAATGGTTGTCTATTTTCTTAACTATTGTTCATCAGATTTTGAAAACCTACAGGAAGCGTTCTTTTCGTTGGAAAACGGAAATGTAGAAGGCATTTTGGAAGAAATGTTCACAGGGATCGAGTTTATCAAGCAAAAACGCAATGCAGGATTATCGATTGTTAAAGTGCTTGAAAGACAACACTACTACGGTGCCGGAATAAAAAGGGATGGCTTCAGTGCTAACGTGTTGGACTGCCTACCAAAAGTCATCAACTCTGTATCCGAGGATATCTATTCCAATACAAGCAGACTTCTTAAATCCGTCAAAGTAAGGTCTACACACTGATGTGAATTATACCCCTTCTTAGATTTTTCGAGCCATTCCAGGTAGCTTAGTAAACACCCATTGCATCATTTAATATTTACAATGAGTGAGATCAATGTAGCTTCCTTCAGTTCCAGAAATATTGTGTTCACTATAGTTTCACGCTCTAAATCAAAACACTCATTCATATTTTGTTTGTTTGTTTTTTTAACGCTTGATGATTGCAGCATTTTGATAAGTCCTCCTCTCAGATGAGTGAAACATCTACAGATTCAGCTCAACAAAACTACAGTGGCTTAATTGATCAAGATTCCGTATCATTCAAAGCAACGGTTATCGGTATTTCTGTTACCCTATTTCTGTTCATAACTTGCTCCTCTGGCTTTGTGGGGTTCAAGCATCTGCGAAGAAAGATATCAAAGGAACCAATTGACTTAGAAGCTGGAGTAAAATGAGGTAAAGTCAATCCGTAAACTTTTGTGGAGCCATGGTGATTTTGCAAATTAACTGTGAACAAGAGATTTCCCAATAGTGAGCTAAACCAAATTTCACTATTGCCTTTTGTGTAGTTGAAAGGGTTATGATAACTTGCCATTCATGACAGCTTCTCGAGACGTGTCTTTTAAGGAAACAAGAAGTCATGTAGAGACATATCCTCATTTTCTCCTTGAGACTTAATGAACTTTCTTAAAGTTGAATCAATTTTTTGGATGGGAAGACATTTCTTGTCATGAGAATTTGCTATTGTTCCATGTTGGACGTTGAAGCAGCTTTTCTGTGAGCTGAGTTTACGTGCAGGTAATGTCTGCCTTCACTGCTTTTAAAATGTGTTTTGAAATTACCTTTGATTCAAATAGGCAGTAAATATCTATATAATAAACAGAACACCGTTGGTTTACAGTGCTAATTCTAATGTTTTTCTCGTACGGTATGCGATAGCCTTTTATTTGGTTGAAAATCAACAATATTTGAAGCGGAATTAAATTTATTTAAAAGAATTTTAAAGGAGTGGCATTTAATAACTGTTTATCTCGGATAATGCTATGCACTTAAGGGAGACCGGTTGAAGTACGTCTCAGTTTAGTGAATATTTATATCTATAAACTTCTTTCTTTGGTTTAATTTTTTTTCCAGGCGTTGTACAGGGTGTTTCTTTACAAGATTTCAAAAAGGTCAAGTTTCCTGCCATGTTTGAAAGCGTCCACTCCAATCCAATTCCATCCACTACCGTGCACATGTTGGTTAGAATAATTTACCTTCCTTATGAGCTGTATTAAAACACTGCTAAAAAGTTTCAAAGTTAAGCTGAATTGAGTGTCGAATGCAATCCACACTGCATTGGCTTTTCTTTACTAAGCCGATGATTCTTCTGAAGAAGTCTTGTCAACCTTTGAACCGATCCGATATCCAAGTAAAGCTAGTCGTAATTTGGTCACTCGCGATTCTGACAGTTAACTTGTTTTAAGTTAGATTTTCAATAACGCCTTGGATGTTTGAATTGTACTAATCTGCAGTTTTGATTGCTTTACTCAGTCTTGGATTTACCACATTCAATCGAAATTCGTACTATCGCACCATTTCTCGGGGTCGCCCTTTTTTAATGCAAAGGCGGAAACTTTGTGTATGGATAATTGCTTGAAACTATCGAGTTTCTAATTTATCGTTGTAAATTGTGGATTAAGGATAGTTTTAAAGATGAAACAATTTTAATGTAATAGAAAAATCCGAGCCCCAGATGGGGCTTGAACCCACGACCCTCCGTGATCTAGTCGGATGCTCTAACCACTGAGCCAATTTGTGGGCCTCGACTGGAACCGCATCGCGCGGCTACACAGCCAAGTATTAGTCAGCGCCTGTGAAACCACTCTAACCACTGAGTCAATTTGTGGGCCTCGACTGGAACCGCATCGCGCGGCTACACAGCCAAGTATTAGTCAGCGCCTGTGAAACTCACTAACAGCATCACGCTGTCACATTAAAGCATATCAAGATGCGGCCAACCAACCTCCAAATTGAGCATGTAAAGGTGAAAAAAAGATAGTTTTAACTTTATATAACTTGAGCATTTGTTTTTAAAAACAAGGTAAAGTAAAACGACAACAAAATTTTCAGTTTTACTTGTGAATTATTCGCATGCATGCTCGGTTTGCGACAGGATAACTTTTCTTTCAAGTTCATGGTCAGACATGTTAGTTTTCAGTGGACCGGGGTCCTGTAAACGAAAACGAAGAGAGATGAATTGCAACAGTTATAATTTAAAGGTAGACTAAACGTGAGATATGACTGAATGTTTTGTAAAGGAAGTAGCTATTTTATAATATTTAAAAACTTCAGCACTCTCACAAATATCATTAGTTTGTATCAAGTACAAAGGTATACAAGGAGCTAAAAAAACCTCGAGTCGTTGACGAAAATTAAGTATTACAAAATAAATAAAACCGATAACTCACTTGTAGCCATTCTGCAAAACTCGTACAATAAGCCCACAGTCAACATCAAGAAAAATACGATGAGAAGAATGTGAAAAGTTCTCCTAAACCAGAGCGAGTCACCATCAAGCAACTTCACCATGACGTCGATGTCATCCGCTGTCACTCTACGATTAAGAGTCTCATTCTAAAAAACAGTTAAACGGTTGCTGTGTCAATACAATAACGAGGAAAAAACAGTCCACTTTTAAAGGGAGCCTTATACTGACAAATTAAGATCCAGAGGTGAATCCCACCATTTTTTTTAAATACCATCCGAACCTGGATTCAGAAAACCGGCGTTCAATTTAAAATGTCTTTGTTTAGCCTTTCCACTTCCCCTTTGGAACTCCTCTAACGAGCAATAAACTTTTAAGGTAGCGGTCTGCGAGTCAAGCCGATCAATAAGAAGAAACTTTTCGATGGCGTGTAAACAAGGTAAGGCAAGTTGGTGAAACAACGAGCTGCCTGATTTAGGGATAAAAAGTGAAAAACCTTCAATTTAGCTCCATATGCGTTGAAGTGTCTCAGGGTCTCAGGTTTGCAAGGCCTCACTGAAGAGCACCTTTTGGTGAAGTGGGCTCCCTGTTAAAATATTGTTATTATTATTATAGTGTCCCAAACCTGCTAGAATGTATTCGAATTCTGTAGTGTGAGGCTGCAAGGCTTATACTACCGCTCCCGCTACCCGTCTTTAATTCTGGTTTTGAAAGAGGAGTTTGAGACAAAGTATCTTTCTCATAAAACACCCCAAACGGACTCGATTCAGAGTCTGGTGAGCTTATGATTTGGCTTGTAAGTCTCTCAGTTGTGCTCCTCTCAAGGAAACATGATCTAATTATGGTGGAAGTTATATGTGAGAGCCAATCACACTCGCAGATTGATAACTGACCTTCGTAAGTGTCTTCTTATGAGGTCATAACGCTAACACAGGAACCTGGAGTTATCTTTTGCAACTTACATGAAATACTTGAATGTGTCGTAAAATGATCTTTTTAACATCACGTTGTCTGTATTTGAAAAGGTTCCTCAAGCAGATCAAGTACTCGTTAAGGGTATGATGCTCGCGTCTAATGACAAAGCCAATTGAGTGTTGACTTGCGAAGAACTTTTTCACTGCCAGCAGAGTGTCATTAATATTGTGCATGAAGTATGAGGCAGTGTATATGTCCGCCAAAATCCCTTGCACTTCTCTCTTTTCCATGAGTGCTTTGTACATTTGGTAGAAGTCAGTGTATTCTAAATGATCGACAGAAGATGATTATCATCTACGATGAGTAAATGGTAATAGGACTGAGTGGCGTACACGCCGAATTGTTCAGTCAACACGAAATCCGATCCTTCATTAATTAATTCTGTCAATAATAAAATGAAAGAAACTCAGGATTGAGAATGTAATAGCGAGAAGTACCAATCTGTAAAATTTTATTGAGCTTGAGATAGAGAAATAAATGATTTTTTTGTATGAATACGAGGCCTAAGGGCGCGAACAAGCAGCCGTTGTTACCATGGCAAAAAGAGTGCTTTGACCTTTAAAAAGGATATTTTTGTGTATACCCCTTGAGTGCTTACCCACTTGCAAAATTGGAAGGGGGTTGGATATTTTCTTTTCTTAAGCTGTTTGATTCTTATAGACTGACTGATTCTCAATCAAAACAAGGTTCATTAGGGGTTAGTATTTTTTAAATCACCAATTCAATAACATTGAGTATTAACTTTCGCATTTAAAAAGTCTCGGGATGTCTTGTTACCTTCAGTAAGTATTTTATGCGCAAGGTTTTTTTTTGGTTTTGTTTTTGTTTTTATAGTAGCTTTTGCTTTGAGGCATCTTTGCTGCCATAGGTTTCATCCTGCTTTGCAGTTAATGATCAAGTTTTGCATGTATCGGCATAAACCAAGGAAAAATTTAATTGAAACGTTTGTCGAAAATCTGAGAGAAGACGGAAACCTTTTCGAGAAATTAAAAGAGAAACTTATTGATAAACATGCCTTGAACATCAGTGCGTGATCAACCTTTCATAAAAGATCCTTTGAAATCAGTGCGTTGTGTTAATTTGCACCAAGGTGTCAACGGGTGTATGAAAAAAGCGGGTAAATACTCTGTATCACGTATTGTGAGTTACCTTTGACATTTGCAGCATGCTTCAGAGCCTCGTCATAGGCGTTACTGTCTGCAATAACTGCAACCTGCGTCAAAACCACCATGTGTCAGAATAATAGTAAATTTAAACTACTTCATTGTGGCCTCTAGGAGTTTTAAAATTACATGTATTAATCAAAGATTTTGTATTGAGTTGATTATTAAATATAGTTCTCATTCGAACAATTAATTTGCTTTTTATAATTTTCTTTGGTCACTCTGACTATTACTTTGAAATTTGTAACATTTAATAGAGTTAATGACGGTGAAATATTTAAAAAAAAATTGAAAATATGGAGAGTATAACTTTTACTCGCTTAGGTAAAATGCATACAGTACCTTAACTCCAAGGAAAGATTCCCTTTGTTTGATGGACGAAGACGTCAGGGCGCTCGTAAAAGTGGCCGTGAAGAACGAACATAAGACAAGGCCGATTAGAATCCACAAGATGCCAAAAAAACGAGCCAAATATGACTTGGGGGTCCTGTCACCATACCTGACCGGTTGAAACCAAATGAAATGTATGATAAGGAGAGTCAATTGAAAATCTGGTGATGAGTATGAATATGAAGCAAAGTGAATCAACTTGAGAAAGCGAGCAAAATTGAGGTGATTGTTTATGAAATTCAATTGATAAGAACGGTAAGCAAAGAGCTAAGTTGTCTGTTCTGTCAGCCAGTTTATCGTACCCTACTGTAGTCATGCTCACAAAAGACCACCAAATGCCCTCCATGATTCCATGCGTGAAAGCGCGCGGGAAGTGATCTGGATTCCCAACGGTGTCCTTCGATAAAGACAAAAGTTACAAATTCGTGAGTAAAGAGGATGCTAGTGTATATCATATTGCCTAGAAAGGATAGTTACAGCTGGTTAAGTATACAGTTCTGAGCAATTTCAATTTTTTGAATGATAAATATGGCTAAATAGTTTCTTTGTAGTCTTTTCCGGCCCACTGATAGGGCCGAAATGGATCCATGTGTCATTGGGCACCCACTGGCCCACTAATGACACGAGGAGTGTACTGCAGAACAAGTGCATTGAATGGGTCTATCACGTGGTCTGTTGACCAAATCCAGAAAGGTGCTCCATGTACCGCTGGTCAATCTTTTGTTTCACGTCTCTAGCAGCATGATAATATCATTTCTCTTCTGATCCCACAATTCGAATAAAATCGAGTAATACGTAAAAAAAAAATCTCACAACTCGTGGAAAGAAAGATTGAATTCTATAAAATCCGATTAAATTTTCATCAGTTGAGGTGACTTTCTGGCGGTGAAAAGCCTTACAGGACCTCTGAAATTTTTCTATAAATGTATGTTAGATCGTTATTTTAAAATCGAACTGCTTGTTTAAAGGCACTGAAGTATTTTTCTTTTTGTCTAAAGCCTGTTTAAACATGGATTAATTGAAAAAATTTGGATAATTGTTTGCAAAACAGTCCTTTCTTATTGCACCATCTGCCTTACCGATATCTCATAATTTATCATTCCTTATCACGTTTTACTAAGAGGCCTGATTATTGAAAAAACGGCTCTGAACTAATAACTGCATTTTTCTTGATGCTCAACCCTCGAAATTGCATAGAATTTGGATCTCATTATTAAGGCAAAAGTGAACCATTTGTTTGACCTCAAGGATATTCAATTTCTATAAATATCTCTATTTCTAATTTTGTGTACCTTAAGAGCACTTCCGATTTGCATTTTTAGCTATTATTTATTTATCTTGGACATTGTCGTGCATAAACATAAATTTGACGCAAGTAAAAGGAGTGACGTTTAGGTTTTCAAAGGCTAACATCTTTCAAAAATGCGAAATAGGATATTTTTTCAGCGGAAACTTGTAAATGTTTCTTTAGCAATAAACACATTATTGAGCGAGAAATGATTCTTAAGAGTAAACTTTCCAAATGATTGACTGCAACGGCGTTAATCGTGGCTTGCACTTTAACAGCATCGGAGAAGATGACGTTTTATTTTACTAGTCTCTCGCCAACTTACTGGCTAGTCTCTCAGCTAAGTTACTGACATACACAAAAATGTTTTCATCGTAGAACATAAGAGCCATTAAAAAGATTTAGAATTGAATGAAATATATTTTAAGACATTTATGATATGTACCTACCAATGCCCAAATCAACAGGCCCGCTGAACATGTCATCAGCAGCGTTATGACGACAACTGGCCATGTATCTTTCATAGCACGTACAACTAAGTCTCGTGACTGATCCTGCATTTGTTGTTTATTCACAATGAAGACAAAACCTGGCGATTTCATGACTTGTACGTACTCATGGCCGCCATATTTGTTTTCTACGTTGCTTTGCACAGGCAAAGCAATGTCAGCTGTTTTCTGCGCGATAACTTGATTGAGTTGTTGTAGATCTTCGGTGGTATTTGTACTGTAGTTCACATGGCAGTCTACTCCCAAACATATTTTTAGTGCTTTGTTGACAACTTCGTATACAATACCTTTGAGTTTGGTTTCAGGTGCAGAGCGTTTTTCCATTTTTTCACTTCCCTGGCTTCCGTCATCCTTCAAAGAATCATTCGTCTCTTTATTGTTATAAATATAAGGTGGCCTATTCAGCCACGAGACGAAAACATCAGGTCTATCACCTCTTGTAGAGCCTTCAGTTGTTGTACCTGGGCAAGCTAAAGAATTATCCTTTTCCAGACTGACACACAAAAAGTCTAAGTCACCAACAACCAAAATGGGAAGAAACGCAAACACCAATGAGTCAATGATCTTCATACTGTCATCCAACCCTATTTACTTAAGGATCTTGGTGACAAACTATTGTATATCTCTCTAATTCAGCTGCAAACAATTTCTTTTAAAATCTTTGTTAGCTGTGTCGAGAATTCATAAAATGACGTTTTCTTGGTCGCATTTGGTCCTTAGTGGATAGTTCAGCTAAACTGAACATGCAGTTGCGCTGCTCTTCCTTTTCCCTCGCGCGCACGTCATCGATCTAGATAATTATGTAGACGATTGTCTGAATAATTTATCCGGTTGGAGTGATAGAAAGAGACTTTTGTGCATAAAACAAAGCTGATGGTGTGCTTCTGATGGTATGTTGAATTAACATTTTATTTACTTCTTTAAACTCTCCGAGGGCCGAGCATACTTGGATGTAAGGCCGCTGTATTGATCAATATTTTATTATGTGTTTATCCAGCTCTCGCTTTTGCATTTAAGAGGAATTCTGTCTTTCCGGCAAAGAAAATGTTTTTTAATACAGCAACCAAAAAAAAAAAGCCAAATTGAAATGTAATTCAGTCGAGTTACATCGTGTCGCTCTGAAAACACTAAAAATGCTCCATTTGGTAGTGGAGATCCTCTGATAGTACTTGGCAGTCGATGTACTTCATTACCTAATGAATCGTGAAATATTGGGTTCACTGCCGAGATCTAAATCATATCATTTTTTACAACATTAACTGTTTGGCCTATGATATGTGGTCAGTGAAAATTATTTTGTTAACATTTTCACAACTTGTACTGTAGTTTTGTGACATCATACTGAGCTAAATCCAAAAAGATGTTCAAAGATTGCGTCAGTTATCTTATAAATTAAAATTAACTTATTGCCAATACATCGAAAGATATGCGAAGCCCTTTATCTGCTTTATAATACGGCATTACCCTAACCTTGTCCATTTTATGCAAAATAGATGATAAAGTTCCTGGTATGCTTTTCTGATATAATCTTCTAAAGTTTTTAAATTAGAGTTTATTTATTACTTTTTAAAGTCAAACTTGTAAGTATAAGCTGCAGGTGGTAAGTTGGGTATGGTAATGAAGACATCTACGTTTTTAGAAAACGTAGGGATGTTAGAGACATTTAAACATTTTCAAGGGAAGCGTCAATTCTGTTTAAAATACAATTTTTTTTAGTGGGTGCTTAGCTTGCAGTATTTGAATCAGACTTTCCCCCGAGAAAGGAGCCGAGAATTACGTTTCGTGGTCAGTTTGATAAATTTAATTTAAGGCGCCATAAGTTTGGAGAGGGATCGAAAAGGCGCCAACTGTTGGTGCCACAACTGTGTTTGACGACTGTCATTATTAAAGCCGTATCTTTACCAACCTTATTCGTTATGTCTCCACCTGAAAACAAGAGCTCGCTGCATAACTGACGAACATGTTAGCTCAGATGCCAAGCGAATAGCCTGCGTAGCTGGTGAATTTATGGCCCGACTGGGATGAAAATAAAGGTGTTGTAGCCGCGAAAACTAGCAAAGGAGCCTTCTCCTTATTTTTTCTGTTCCAAGCCTCTCGCAACTTCACTCCATAGCTCTGCACCGTAAAAACATGAGCTGCACAGGCTACCCAGCGTAACAGGCCAGTCAAGAGAGATTTTGACGGAGGAGACAAATTAGAGGGAAATTTCAAAAGTCGGAGAAGGACACCTTTCTTACAGTCTACACACATGACAAATAGGATACCAGAAACCAAAAAATATATGTTTACATATAACATAGAGTGGCTATTTATTATTCTGCCGCGGAAAGTATACTTTTCCTCAGTTTCGCACTTTCTGTGCGCAAGAGAGGGTCAACCTCTTTGATCATATGTAAATGGAATTTGCGCACTACAAATATTAAACTATTATTATATTATTATTATTATTATTATCAACTTCCATGTAGATCGCCAAGAAATATATTAGCCGGGAGATCAAGAATTTTCCGCATAGCTTAACCGCCGAATTACGAAGCTTGATTCGAAATACGTAGCCCATTTGAAAATGAAAACGTTATCACTGTCAAAGTATACGTTTCATGGCGGAGAGGGACATTATCTTATTGTAGTTGGGGAGCCGTGAACGGCACATTACGTTCTGATGCATGGGGCTTGGTCACACAGTGTCAATGAATTGATGATGAGAACAACGTTGGAAACAAGTGGGATGCTGTTTATCCCGACTTATTGTTCAACAAAAGATGAATACGCCAACAACTAAATATATAAATAATAAACGGAGTAAATGAATGATTGAATAAATGAGAGGAGGAATCTTTAGTTTAAGGTGAATGCATGTCTCTCTTTTCCACCAAATCACAGCATACTGACCGATCCACTGCTCATCTCAGCATACTGACCGATCCACTGCTCATCTCAGCATACTGACCGATCCACTGCTCATCTCAGCATACTGACCGATCCACTGCTCATCACAGCATACTGACCGATCCTCTGCTCATCTCAGCATACTGACCGATCCACTGCTCATCTCAGCATACTGACCGATCCACTGCTCATCTCGTCAGGAGACTCATCACCGGCAGGCGAGCAACCCGAGTAATTCAAACATTGTTTGATCAAGCTACTATTTCATATTTCAATAGCTGTCTGAGCAATTTCTTTCAGGATTACTTTAAGAAAGGCATACCTAGCTTTTTTTTTTTACTGACGCTCGTTTGTCTCGTTTCATGGTCTAAAATTTGGCACTTCAATCTGATTTTTCGTGTTATTTTTGTTTGTGCTCAAACAGAAATTTTTTCTTTAATAATTACTTTCAACCCATTAACTTTTTATTTTACTCTTTGGGCGTCAGGATACAATTGAGTCACGTCCTTTGCCCCTAAAATCTCAACAGGCCGACGACATTTATTAATTTCACGGAAGCTAATTACGATTGAACTTTGTCTGAGCAAATAAAGCCGTACAGACAGTGATTGTTTTTAATTGATACCTCTGTCGATATTGATGACAGCCGAGTTACTTTAGCAAACCACAGGACTAGAGAGGCGCCAGCTGTAGTCTCAGATAACTGATATCAAATGCCGGGATAATACGATTACCTCCACCACCGGAAGAATTATCTAATTACTGTCAGAGCTTCAGTAAAATTAATTAGGTGTGCATACCTCTAACTGTGTGATCTGAGTGAGAAAAATGCCTGATTTCTTTTATCAATACCTGTAACTTTTCAAGAGATTAAGAACGGAGGTCGTGGTCAAGATGCCGTAAGAGCTTCATGAGTGAACAAGCGATCACTAAGGTGGACGTACTTTATTATTCTAGTCAGTTTTTCTCTTACTATGATCGCTCTCAATTTGTTCGTGTGTAGACCCTCATAGTTGGCCGCAGAATTACAACAAATATTGTGGCAAATTGTAAGCGCATTTTCACTCTATGAAAATAGATCTAAGTTATATCTAGAATCGGTAAGCAGCCCAGCCGTATTTTTTGCTGTTTACACCAAGGACCTTTACTTTTCCCCCGAGAACTAGAGATCAGTACAAAATCCCGCCTCAACACATATGTAACAATTCAGCTCCTCCTATTATTTGTTTTGTAGAAAATTCAACAAATAAAGGAGAAAAACTTGGAGAGTTTTTTTTTAAAAACAGAAATTTGTTTACTACGTTTAGGAATCAAAAGTTTCAGATGGACGTCAACTATTCTTGATTGCAAAGTGGATTTCCCATGAACTCAGAGTTCAAGGAATGAAACCGTAGAGGGAGACTAGAGTTGAAGTGTAAGAACAATTCTCCAAACCATCTTGTCTCACATTCCTTATTTCAACGTCGGAGGTACTTAGCAACTGAATGACGTCTTCCATATCAGTTCAAACTCTACCTGTCGGTCTGCACTGAATATACAAGCGAAGAAAGTCTCAGAAGGAAACCAGGGTTATCGAATGTTTACCACCTTACAGGAAACAAATCAAAGCTGTGCACTGGAGACTAATTAGTAATTGATATTTATGGAACTTTGTACAATGCCGGATCACATACGAAAAATTTCACATCCTCAGTTTGGCCTTCCTAAAAGTTGGGTGCAGTTAAGATAAGCGGCTAACTTCCCAGAGTTTCAACATAGTCAAAACAATAACTTTTGTTTCGTGCAGAAAGAATAGTATAGCTTCGTGCAACCGCTTTTAGTTGCTGAAAACCAGAATAGATACCGGTCAGTGCTCAAAATTAAACAATGCTTTGAAATAGCTAGATGTTTACTCAATTAAAGCGGAGCTTTGTATAACTGACGATCTGTTTATTGCATTCTGTTAAAGTGGAAGCTTAACTTAGCTGAGAAGAAAGAAAACATAAGCACTCATTATTATTTTAACCGGAATCACAGAGGTCTCTGTTTTAGAAACTCTTGTTTGTGACATCTATTTTTGATCAGTCAAAACACAAATCCGCTGAGGCCAAGTATTGCATGCATCAGACCTGGAGACACTTTTTCGAAAAACCTAAACTCATCCGTCGCGTTCCAATTGTTCAGTCCTAGGGTGGGCATACAGTGCATAAAGGTCCTTTCCTTATCTGATAGATGCAGACATCTCAGTTCATTTTAGGGGATCTAGTAGACCTTATGTCAACCTCTAAGATTGATGTATCCGATCAAGAGATAATTTTTTCCCCAGTCAAGTTAACAGAACTAAATATTATGGCATTCTCTGTGGAGTTTATTTTGTTAAGGAGGTTGTTCCTAATGTTAATAAAATGATCCGGGTAGAGTTGTTCTGAGAGTTGGTGAAAGTTGAGTTTTCTGGCGGGTTTTGACTTTTAAGTTAGAGATTCTTCCCTCTTTGCATTTCTATCGGTCCTTGCCGATTCTTCTCAGTGGTTTTACCTCTCGCCACTATATTGTTATCATTATTTTGTCACATCCTTCAACTAAATCAGTTGTGCGATCTTGTTTCAGAAAGAAGCTTCGTTTGGCCCCCGATGCCGACTCCAATACATCTCAAGTTTCTTTCGATTTTCACTTGAAAAAATTTGCTTTCAATCGATGAATGGCGTTTAAGACCAAAATATATATACTGAGAAGTCCCACGCCGTTTCCTATCACGTTACTTTCTTTCCTATAACAGATTACCAAACACCTATAAAGAAAGAATACACTTAAATGGTGTCGATACTTGAGGGATACCATTTTGGAGGACGTTCGTGAAGTTTCACTAGGCTGTTAGCGTAGCTTAGCAAGAGATTTTGAAGGAGGGAACTGATAAAAGTATGCCGCACCCCAGATCGGTGAGTCGGTCGACTCCATATTGTGATGGAAGGAATTTGCTTTTCTTAAAAAAATTTAATAGTTTAAGGGATTTAAGAATTAAGCTGGCATTACTGGCCATTTTGGACCACACTGCCTTTCATTACTGAGCTGTGGTATGGCTATGTTATAAACATTGCTAGGTATTTCTTAAGCTTTGTTTCTCGATGAATGTACATAAACGATAATTGTAACCCTTGTTAAGAAAGAATAGAAATGAATTACCATGTCCGTGTTTGAATACACATTCCTCTATCTGAATTTCACTTAAATCCCTTTGAATATCTGTCGCAAGAAAATTAATGACTGTTTTTCCATTGTGTTCCCCTCAGGATTCCAGTCCATTCACAGGACATTCCACCTCTGAAATCCATATTCCCAAAATGTTGGAATGTAGGCAATTTGATTCGATGAAGAATAATACCAATCTGCCTATGAATAGTTAAAGTTTTAATTTATTGAAAAAATATTCTCTTATCAGTTTCACCGAAACGGTTTGTTGAATGAGTTCTGTGGGCAGTTTCTTGTTGTTACATATTCATGAAATATTTTAACTAAAGCCTACAGTTTCCCTCTATCCGGCTGTGTTTATATTTGAAGGGAATAAATATTATTATGTGATGCGTGATGCCTCTTTCCAGTCAATCTTTTTTCTTTAAACTGTAAGCACGATACACGGAGATCGTAAAGTAAAGCAGCCAAAACGACCTATAAGTGATAATCTTAGGTTTAAACGCAACCGCGACCTCACAGTTCACACGCCAGTCCATGATTCTGTTCTAACTTTAGCGGTTGCAAGAATAATCCTTGTTAGCAAAGGAAGAAACGACGTTAGATTGTCGACATACTCGGCTCAACATTAACCTTTGCCAAATAACTGCTTAAAGCTTTTTGGTGGACTATTGTGTCGACGCTAAGGTTTAAAGCGCCATAAATCACTGCAACTGTCGTACACGAGTGTCAAAATGAGATGGATTGTGTTTCATCCGAAAAGGCTATTGTTCCGTAATCCGGAATTCCCAACTTGTCGTGGTTCGAGTTCTAACGTCACAATCGAAGCTAGAAGGGATCAGCTGAAGTTGTTTTACCAATAGGAGAATGGTTGTTACATTCATCATATTTTTATGTCGGCGACAACGAAATGAATGATCTAGAATAGGCAAAGAAGGTAACTGGGAGATTCGTAAGTTCAGCGGAGGTTGAGTAACATTGCCTCACCTTTTGATAGCGACTCGAGAAATTTCGACTTTCTAAAACTTCCAAGATGTGCTCGTTCTTTGGACGATATGATTGATAACCGACAAGCAGGCTTTTAATACTCAGTAAGAAATAATTATTGAGAAAGAGTTGCTTTCAAAACCGTCACCGCAAGAAAAACAGTCATTTATCAGCCTTTCTGACGAGTTCCTCCCTGAAGCAATCCATCACAGTTTAAAGAGATAAACGCTTGATAGCCAATCTTCAGCTCTTTGATGTAGATGAATAGTTTAGCACCTTCTAAGTTTATAAATCATTTGTGAAAGGTATTGGTCGCATTCGATTCATCTTACCCGACCAATCGGCAATCTGCCGCAAGAAGATAACACATGGAAGTTGGCACATTTCATATTCCGTTCAATAAGTTAGCCGAATGCTTTTTTCCACCAAATTTGGCTTGGTGTTTTGGTTACGTGCTTTCATGTGATTTAAGAATGTAAGGTTATATGAGTGACGCGAGGGAAATCTGACTGATACAGAGGGACCTGTTCACAGACCTTCTATCCTCTTGAATCGTGGTCGTAGAAAAAAAACACTTATTGTATTAGTACTGGTTGCTTTGTAAAACTAACTCAGTAAATAAATCTTGAAATATCCTCTGGGAGTGACAATGGATACAACAAAACTTTCATCTATGTTATTTATTTCCATGCACACCAAAAGCTGAACTTGACAAATATGCAATATTTATAACCCTTCGTAATTTTAGCTATGAATGATGCTCTGGTTTACTGTTTTATCTTTTGACACCGTCTTGCATAAAGTACACATGCTAGATTTGAAGAAATTATACAATGATAAACCAATAAAATTCGAGTGGAGGAAAGCAAACGAAACGCAGGCATACAATTTTTAACCACGCTAGATTTTTAAAACGCAATATCCGGATCTTGTCCCTGACCTTTCATTCGACAGTGAAGCCGACCGACTCTGTGAAGTTGGATAAGTAGACAGCCAGTTGATTTATCGTTCATTTAGCATCTTACTTTAGATGTGTCACTGCATTCAGTGATTTATGAATGTGGCCGGTACAGCCTAACCAGAGTATTTAACCTTGAGACAAATCATGTTATTTAAGAAGATTTCTTCAACAGACTCATTAAAAAGCCAACTAAAGAGGCGCAAGCTGTCTACTACAAACTCAACAAGTAGTCTCTTTGATCTTTGATAGGAGAGAGTCGCTTTTGAGTAAAACAATTTCCGTACTTGAGGCAGGAAATTTCCAAATTTCAGGTTCAGTGTCCGTAAAAGAAAATCCGTGTTTTGAGAAAATGGATTCTGCAAAAGAGTATACAAGAACAAAACGAGCGCTTACTTGTTGCATTAGGTGGATTATGCACATATAAGACTGCAGAGTGCCGGAAGAAACCTGAATGTGTCAATTGAACCACCTTGTAAGACATTAAATTTCCAAACGCTTGCACAGTCGGTTCACTTGCTTATTGTCCATAATCTTCGCTGCTTGAACGTCGCTTTTGAGTTCCTCAAGATCCCGTCGAAATTTCGCCCTTCTGTTCTGGAACCATGTGATTACTTGTGCACCAGAAATTCCCAGAGAATGTGCAATTTCGTCTCTATCCGAAGGGGATAGGTACTTCTTGTAAACAAATCGTCTCTCAAGCTCAAATATCTGTTGATTCGTGAAGCATGTTCTCGCTTTTCTACGTTTTCTGGCGTTGAGTCTTGCTTGAAATGCCATAAGCTTTTGCTGAAGGTTCCTTGAACCTATAAGATGGTAAGTACATTATAACTTTAATCGCGGTACAGAATTTTATACACCACACAAAATGTCTCCTTGCTGAAGGAATAAAAAAAAGAAAAGCAGAGAAAAGAAAAACAGCTCGCATGAGTTATGCAAATCGTAAGTAAACATCAATGCTGAAACTAGCTTTCGATTGCTTCAAAATTGCTTCAGGGTCACTAAGTATTTGTTCAAGGCTGCGCAAGCAGATTACGATTTAAATTTTGAGACGTGTTCACCAGAGGGAATGAATTAAAAATTCTAAAGTCTAATACTCTAACTTAAGCTTCCTGGCTTTTGTTTAGTGGTAAATTAACGCCAGGAGTTAGATCTCACCTATTTCGGCGGTTTCTGGTTCTTCAGATCTATCGTTCGGTAAATTGCTGCTTGTAAAGTCCTCCAGAGTTAAAATAGCTGGAGGTGATTCCGTAGAGGTTCCTTGTGAAGACCAACGAGGCATTTTCCTTGTAACTGATGAATGTTTCTTTGGATGCGGGGCGCTGAGAATTGCTTCGATAGAAAATGGCAACACTCTGTTATTAGTGGTTTTGTCCGCACTGTGTCCCGAGTTTCTCACATCCAAGTCGTCCTCGCCTAAAGAAGACAAATTGTTTCCATTCCTTTGTGTCTCCATTGTGGTTAGTGTCTTATAGAAGGCGATCGAAGCGTAGACAAATGTTGGTTTGATATCTCGTGGCACAGTGAAAGAAGGCAAAGTAGGTCTGTAGTGCCGCGAGCCTTTGTAACCCACCAGGCGCAAGCCACCTCTGAGTATTCACCCAGCCTGGGGATGCGTCAATTAAATTATACAGCTTGTGCGAAATTGATGACTAATTAATTAAAGTATTTACCTAAACCAACGACCAATCAGCTTTCGAGAGCGCATGGAGTAATTCAATTAGCGGGACAGCCCGTCAAAGTTGGATACCGAAGATAAATTGAATTAAACTGTCAACGCTATCACAGTAACCTTGTTAGGACAAAGACAACATTTTAGAAGCTGCCAAATCACATTTGTAGATGAAGTGGTTTGAGCAATTATCTCACAAAACACGAGTTTTTGAGTCAACAGCTTTTAGACCATACGGCCCTGTTACTTTCCTTTGAAAAACGCAAAATGATATGCGTGTTTCTCGAAGCGGATTAGGTTACACGAATGGAAAAACTACTCCATAGTGTTATCCCGCGGCCAAAGAAAAATTATCTCTAACATCTCCTAATTAATTTCGCCTTTTGTCTTTTCATTGACGCGATATCCCAAAGGAACACGCACCTCAGAAAGCATTCTCTTTGTTACCACAATAGGACATGCATTGCCCGCATTCTTTACTCAGGGTTAGCGACGACCCTATTAAGCTCCTAAAATTTGTGACATTTTAAAACGAAAGCTATTAAGGTCCCGCTTCGCAGGCTCCATGTTTGCTCTCTTAGTGTTTTAAGCATTCCGCGCGTTAAGACGGTTCTCGAAATCCATTTGCTAATTGGTCGTTGTATAATTTAGCAAAACAAACCTTTGACAGTTCCTTGAAAAAAAAAAACATTTTATTTCTTTTATTTTCAAACTTGGCTGGTAAAAACCGTTATATCAGCTGTAATTAGCTGGCAGCGTTGTAGACATCTGTGTAAACTGTAGACTAGCGACTGCTTTTAATACCATTAGCAATGATTAATGTTCCCTTTAATCTTCTCCGATTCGTTTGTTTTTAAAAATTGACTTATAAAGTTAAGAAGTCTAAAAAAAGAATGCTCTTCTTTGGAAGCTGTATTCGATAAATGTTTCTTCTATTCAATAGAAATTTTGAAAATTCAAAATCTTCAAACTTAAAAATCCCATTTTGTCGAGTATTTTCCCCAAACAACTACAAACTTTTGAATCTGTGCGAAATTGCAACTGTTTGAATCTGTTATCAGGTATCCCGCCTTAAGTTACATTTGCATTAATACTTATTTTTGTTCTTCTTTCTTTTCAAATTTTGAAAAAAAATTCTGGGGAGTGGGTCATTTCTGGTAATTGTTCCATTGATTCAGATTTTTACTGAGGGGGCAGCTGAGAAACATTTGGCAGTAGCCCCCACACGAAAATAAAAGTTGAAATAGTGTAACTGGGGTGAAATTTGAATTGAATGGGAGTTGGTTTTTGGTAGGTTTTTTAGATATGCTGCAATACTTGATAAGAGAAATTATTGACAAGAGGATCAGTGATCTGAGCCTGCAATGCGCAAAAATTGTCTCGCTGTCTCATGTCAGTGGGCCGTGCAGTTTCGCTGCGAAATGTGAAAATGCGAGACACTGACAGCTTAAAAAATAGAGATATACGTCGTAGAAGTGATTTCGGAAGGATAAAAATACATTTGCGAACAAAGGAATTTTCACACTTCTTATTCTGACAACTGAGGTTTTTTTTTTCCGCGAGCACAATCTTTCGTGGTGACAAACTCATCAATAACATAAATTTACCCCACCTAAAAATGCTGGGTCAGGAAGCATTTGTTCTCGTTTAATCAAGTCTGGGTAGTTTTTGCGTAAGTATTGCGCTTCATTTCGTAAAATTTTAAACTGATCAAGAATAGAATGATTGCAAAGAAGTCTGAATGATGAAGCCATTCTTTTCTTCAGACACAATGGTCAACCAATTGGTTTCGTGGTCAACTCAATTCATAGCTGAAGAAATTAGTAAGGTTGGTTTTTTTTTACTTTCTCCTTTCCTAGTTCCTTTTTTTTTCCATCTCCAGTTTCTCAAAGCAAACAGCGGATTCGGTTTGTGTTGGGAAATGATTACGAATTCTTGTCGAAATGTCGCATCCTTGTAAGATGAAAAAGCGTCTCGTTCGTCCAAAATTTATAGTGTCCGGTCTTCGTGTCTTTCTGAAACAGGAAATATTGTCAGTAAATTGAAGGCTAATCTCCATATTTGAATGACACTGTTAACCAGTGCGACAATCAAAACCCTTTTTAACTAGAAAGTTCCCGCAGTGATAAAAATAAACTACCTCATTTTTTACAGGTATCTCCCTTGAAAGATTTGTCAGCGTCGCCGCTTCCTATCATTACCCTAAAAAGAAGTACATAAGAAGAGTTTGCTCATGAGAAAGAAAGCTCAACCGTCGAGTATGTTTGAAAACTGTCTAACGTCCGACCCCCATGAAATGACACAAGTCAGAATATTAATTACCTTTCTGCTGACAAATCAAATGAACGGTTCATCTCAACAGGTCGATCTTGTGCGGCCACAAACATTGTATTTGGGAACGGCAGGATACAATCTCAAACTGCATTTTTTTCACCAGTGAACAAACTGCAGCCGTTTTACCAAGGTCCTCACTCTTCATAGAATTGACTTGCCTACGACGTCTGCGAAAGAGATTAGAAGTATAATACTAGAAAGGGCGTCCATGCGACACTGATTCTTTGGGTTCTCTATGGACGAAAACTACAAGTCTGTGCGGGCTGCTATTTCAAATTGTGGTAAAATTAACTAAGAGAAAAAGAAAGCAGACAAAGATTTCGACTTGCTAATCGAGCTTGTACAGTATGATAAGCAAACTTCATTTCATGGACTTCATCTGAACATTTGCCCGAAAGGACACTTCGCCGCTTGGAACAATGAACGACCTTTAGAAGCACGAAGTTGTGTTATTTCCCCCTCTTTTTAGCCTGATAGCACTATCAATGTTTTTATTTGAGAAATAGCGCTTTTTCCTGGATAATTGACATAGGTGCTAATGCCTTAATCTTATGAGGGGGGTAAAAATCAAGGGGCGTGTTCAACACTTCATTACTTTTTCCTTCCGTTGGTCTTGTAATAAATAATTACATGTGGGAATTTCTGTATTTTCTCCCCTACTCCTTTTCTTCTTCTCTAACTTTTCCAATGACGTAAGCGAAAATGTACGAGATCCATCACACTTATGAACGCATATTGGTTGTAAATATATGCCTCGTCAATGATACAATTTCTTGTTAATCTGGATTATATAAAAATATTCTGCGGATGTGACGTTTGTCATCTCCTTGATGGTTGCCATGTTGCGATAGGACTGGTGCCAGGCTCCTTATGATGTCCAGGGTTTCTCAGAGAAGTCAGTGAAAGCCGACCACAGTGATGTGGGAACTAAGTACATGTTTGACCAAGGAACGACTCGATTCTCTCCGGAAAACCATTTCCGAACCCTCATTTTGCAGTATCCAACTTGGCCGTTGTTGTTTTTGTATTTGCTTTTTTGTCATGCAGACCCTGTTGTGGATTTTGCACAACTGGCTTACATTTGTAGAATCGGAGCTAAAATCCTGGGTTCTGAATAAAAAGTAGACCGAATGCTCATGATTTCTTTAAAAACACTCGATTTGGGATTTAAAGCCATGTTTATAGCATAAGACACTTACTCCATTTAGATCTCACTTACGGCGATGAGCATTTCCTGAACCCCAGGAAAGTCCAGGAATCGAGGACATCTGGTTTACTAGTGAGAAGTTTGCAGTCAGCGATGCGTTGGTCCTCATCTCGTTTTCGCCCCCCTTTCATTGCTTGGACTGCTGTGTTCAAAGTGAAGCATAAGCGGCGATACCACCAACTGGCTAGACCTGGCTAACGAAGCAGGTTTGTCTCTAGCAGTTTTGCTAACAGTTAATGGCTTGGAACGGCATACTTCCTGCTGCGCCAGTCAAGGCCAGGGCGGATTTGCCAAGCTTCGTCCCGAAGCTGGCAGTAGTTTAGGAAATCGGATCTACGATTCAAAAGGTTTTTTACTTGGGATCGGTAAAGGGGATATCATAAGGAGACGAGCATGTTCTTCATTTAGGCGGGGAACAGTAGGCGTTTTGGGCCTTCAAATCCGGCTCCCCACTGCTTGACGATGTTTGATGGGCTTTGCTTTAGTTTGATGAAGCATTCCGGGATATATATGGTAAATTCTGCAGCAGTTCATAGTTTATGACTAATTTAGCGTGCCAATCGACCGTGCATTTGGGACTCTATCTGGTCTTTAAGCTCACTCTTAGGTCCTTTTGGCTTTGTGGCATTTGGTCCGTCAGATGTTCTTTAATCCTCTGCATTTTCCGAATTTGCCAACTTGTTATCATATTACCGGTATATTGATAATGATTTTTTAAAATTCATATAATATTGACATGTACCCTGAATCGTGTTAAAATCGTCTGGCTACAAGTCTTATTTATCTCTAGAGATAGAGATGGACTGAAACTACCCATCCTTGTTCACTTCTTTACCACGAAGACGGATTTTCCTCCAAATGTTTTATTCATTGCTAAAGCTGTTTTGTTTTTCTTAATCTTTTTCCTCATGCGATGTGAGTTTGTGCCTCGTTGGAAAAAACCCTTAAGCCAACCAGAAGACAAAATAACCAGCACGAGACTTGATGAGTAACTGAATAATTGACTGCTGCATGCTGAATCGACCTGAACTACACGTATTAAGATGACCCAACGAAAGAAACAAAGACTAAGCAATCTTTGTCTAAGTTTCTTCTGGCACTACTGTCGACAAGATCTAACTTCCACATTTGTTTGTCTCTCTTTTCCTTCTTTTCGTGCCTCATTCATTAAAAACAAAACAAAACAAAACAAAACAAAACAAAACAAAAACAAAAACACTCGTTTTGCCGATTTCTTGGCAGGTTGAAACTATCGTTGTCCTCGTTCCCATGAAGTCTAGGAAGCCTCGTCTTGATTATTATTGTCATGGAAACATCTTGTGACACAAAGATGGCGGACATCCAAGTGGAAAGTTATGGTCCTGTTGGAAATAATGTCTTTTCTGGAACGCCATCTCCTTTACCTCGGCCATATTTACCGTCCTTACCACCTGAAAAAACCATCAAGCCTTCTTACTCAAGGTCAAGGTCCACGATTTGTATACTAGTTCTTTCAAATTCATTAACAGCGGTAAAGGATTCCGAGTCGCGCATTGCCTCGAAGCATTTAATTTAGATATGTTTTGCGGTTGTGAACTTATTTGATCTCTCTTTCATGATTCTTTCTAGATTTCTCATCGAAGCACCATTTTCGGCCTTAGCTGGTGTGGTTGCAGATGCAAGAGATCCTCCGAAGGTTAGCTTACCAGAGGGTACTCCAAACAACCGATAATTAATATGGGTGCCAGTTTAATTGATTAATTCACTTAAATGGCCAAACATTGGAATTGTTTTCATAGGATTTATCGTAATTTTCAGTAACGATCAAGAAAGCTGTATATGTTATATGATATGTTTGAGTTTTTATGGCTGCACAATTTTCTCTATATCTTCTCTTTTTTATTTCCTCTTCGATAGTTTAACATTGGTCGATCTTATGTACTTGCCCCAAACTATAATGCAGAATTGGATGTGAATTATTTGAAAATTTAAAGTTCTGTATAATTATGAGTCTTAGAGATTGAATGGATAGATGACAAAAAAATTAACTCTTACCTTTATTAAAGTTAACTCTTACCTTTATTACAAAATAACTGAAGAATCTTGAATGAAAATCAGTTTTGCCAGTATACAATGTGTAACTCTATATGCTGGTATCCCTTTGTAAAATCATTCAAGCGGTTCCACTGTTATGAGCTTTCATTGTACACTGGATGGCATTTCAACACACATATACATACATACATACATACATGTTATGGCATTTCAACACATATTACATGTGTACTGGCAAAACTGTATTGTTGCTGTGCATTAAACAGTAATAGATCACAGATGATGTTAAATTGTGGTAACAACAAAAAAAGTTTCAGCCACAACAACATGATCATGATGAAAAGCAAAATTTGTTATTGGCGACCTGATCTCTGTGTCTCTCTTTTAATAGATCATAAGTAAGAAACAATAAAAAAGGTTCATACAGCTACACACTGTTAGATACAGTTCAGTAGGAATTTGTCAAGTATCAAGGGTGTGAAAATTAAGTGTGTATGCTGTTGTGGAAAAGGCATTTTAATTCCAGTTCCTTTTATCCTTATCTCAGCCCCCTATGCTACCACGCAGTAGAAACAGAATTCAAGTTGGATGCACCAACCGTTGGAGACTTCCAAATATACTTGGTAGTGATCTTTTGGGCTCATCACAAGCCCTTAAGTCTGTTACAAGTTCTTATAATGACACTATAAAGGCAGTCATGACTGGTAAGCTTAAAGTGAATTCATGCTTTTCATTGATTGATAGCACTTACATCCACCTCAAGAAACAACCCCTAGATACATGTCCCACAGTGTAGAAAATTCCATGCTTAAAATGCTTGATGCATGTTTATGCAGATTTATTCTGTGTGTTTACTCTACTGGTCAATAATGGAGTAAGCCTTGTTTTTTTGGGATCTTATTCAGATAGACAGTACACAATTTTTACGTGAAGGGTATTCAAATAATTCAGATCAATATTTGGGTAAAACAACATCAAGGATTTAATAGATTTTTGTACAATTAATAACTGTACAGGTAAACAACTAGCCATTAATCAATTAAAAGTTTATCAACCTGTTTTTGAAGGAGTCAAATATTGTTATATTTTCACATTGTTCTCTTTCTTCAATCAGTAGACATGTATTGTCCATGAGGCCTCTTTCAAGAGAGTATTAAGAAATTAAATATAGTATTTCTTCACCATGAGAATTCTTGCCATGTGATTGGCTACTTAGATAAGGAGTGAAATTTATGAAAGATTGGTCACATTTTGTAACTGAATCCTCCACTAAAGTTCCACAGGCTTGAGCTGAAAATTAATTTTCAAATAAAATTAGGATGAATTTTTACAATTATTAGTTCTTACATTATAATACACACTGTACATGGCCAACTGAGTTGAAAGGGGATATATGTGTTGGGGATGTTGATAGCAAAGATTCATGTTTGTGAACTCGATAGTTTGAAACTTTAGAAGAAATATCAACAGATACATATAACTTTCAACCTTTTCATACATTTGAGTATTTCCTATCTCATTGGTGTTTTGGGAACATTTAAAAACCCCATTAAAGTGAGTAGATCAAGCGTTTACATTGTTGTCAAGATTTGATATTGCCTGAAATTTTAATACTTAAAATGGTTATTGGTAATACATGTGGTTGTAGCTCAATTAATATTCTCCTAGCATAATCACTTTATACTTACTGGTATTTCCTGTTTTGATTTTAATAACTGCATAAGCTGACTGTCCAATGGCAACATGCAACCATGCAGAGTTAGGTGGAGAAAGATTGTACAGGAGTGCAATACATTCCCTGATTTCTCCCAGATTTCTTAAGTCACAGCCAACACCTGGTCTAAACAGTACAAAGGAGTTTGATCGTCGCCTTATTCGTTCACAACCAACCTCTTATGCTGGATCTACAAGGTTTGTGCATTTTGCATGTGTGCAAAGTCTGTCCTTATCTTTCTTTTAAATTTGGTTCTAACTGTTTGTGTGGTTATTCAACTGTGCAGTACAACTTGCAAAGATCTTGCAGATACCTTGACAAGGATCCTTATTAGATCCTCCCTTTTGCAGGTTTCCCAAATTTTACAAATTCAGTGGGCTTTTAACTAATAGCCTTTAACTGTTAAATTACCTCAAACTAAGGTTTGAATAACTTTCAAGATTAATAACAATTGACAACTCACCAAAACAAGGGGTGAGGATCTTGTCCAATTTTGGCCTATAAGACTTAACTACATCAATTTGATAGGATGTGTGAGGAAAGAAATGAATATTCAAAGCTCCACATTAAGGCTTGGCCAAATTGATATGCCAGTACTGTCAGGTAGATAAAGTCAGGATTAAGAGTCAGGACAGTAGGAAGGTCTCAACATTTAAGTCATACTACAGCTGCACATGTACATGACTAACACAGGGACAATTATTTTGGTATTTGTTTCTGGTTTTATGATTATTTTAGGATTGATTTTTACTTTTTAAATTTTTTTTAACTAGAAACACAAATGGACATGGTGGACTTTCTTCATTTCATCTCCAGCAAATTGACTACCAAAGAAATGTAATTCCACCAGCAATGAGATCCCCAACTCCAATGGAACTGTTTTTGTGCAGGTCTCAAACTGCTGGGCTTCATAAAGTACCAGGTACTGAAATTAACAGTAACATAAAGCACAAGCAAGAACAATGTATTTTATTGAAAATTGTACATAAACTTTGTAGTGAAGCTACAAAATGGTACTCCTAATGAGGTCTTCCTTAAACGTTTGATCAACAAAGCTTTCTTAGTAAGGTATAGGGTAAGAGAGCAAGATGGTAAGAGAATGACTTTGGGTGCTGCAATGTAACCATTGATAATCTTGATAATTGCAACTGTTTACTTTGTAGATGTCATAGTTTATGCTTTGGAGACTACTTGGGAACTTCATAAACCTTATCTTCAAAAGTCTTCTTTACTGAGTTCATTGCTGAAAAAAGCTGAGATGACTGGTATGAGAAACATAGAGGAAAAGGCAGAGGATGAAGCATTAAATCCTGGAGAAACAGGTCTATATTTGTTCAGAAATATAATAAGTTAGTGTGCTGCACTCAGTGTTAATGCAAAAGATCTTTGAAGTGTTGATGCAATGACTGTGCCAAATATTTGGTTAGAAAGATAAATTAAAGGACCATTTACTGGCTCACAAAATTTGTTTTACGTTGTGGCATACATGTAGGAAGTTGACAAAGCTGCATAATTTTTCATTGTTTTATGGGGGAGGACAACAGTATTCTAGGCTACTTTGAACTTTTGGATTGTTTGGAGCAAGCAAAGGACAATGTGACTTGTTGATATATTTTTTGAAAATAGTTTGACCAAAAGGGCATTTTTACAAAAAATAAAATGAATTACAAACTTTTGCAACTGTCAATGAATTCTTGATATTTACAGCTCTTCAGTCACAATTTTTCAGGCTTGATTAGGAGAAGATGGCTTGATAGTGGCTGAGTAATTATTTTTGAGTTGATCAGGTTGCTGAACATGGTTTAGGGTAATGTCTGTCTTTTTCGGCTATCAGGATGGATTTATTATTTTTTAAAAAGATTACAAAAAAGTACTTTGATTTTTACTTTTTACTCTGAAAGTCTTGAAGACTAATTTTTGTTGCTTTATTTTGTGACTCCATTCCTGCCAACTTGGTCGGAAACTTTTTGCTTATATGATAAGTTTCTTGATTGATACAAATTGAATTAAAAGATGCTGAAACTACAAGGAGGGTCTTCCTAAGGAGGCCTATCTTGCTTTCCTAAGATTGGCTTTATCTTGCCAGCTTATGGAGCTGTTATAGCATAATGATATGAGAAAGAATTATACAGGTTGATACAAGAGTGAATTGTGTGAGCATGCAGGCTGCATATACATGTAAATGCAGTGACTATACTTAACCAGCCCTTATTACAATTTATGACTAAGGGTACTCCTGGTGATTTACAATTTGTTAATAATGTCCCTCTTTACAGTTGAAAGTAATCTAGATGCCTTGATAACAGCTGCAAGCTTAGCAAACATGGATCCTTCTGCTGTGACTTCAGACATGTCAGTTGGTAGAAGACGATCCAGCAGTGAGTGGTACAAAAGCCAGTTAACATTTAAACTGAGAGTCAGGGATCCACTCATCACAAAACAAAGTTGGTATAGATTATAATTGACTGAAAGTGCAGAGTTAGGTCATGGCATGTTTTTATTTTAATAGTAATCTGAGACATAGATATGGATGGAACATTCACTCCTTCCGTCCATCCTTCCTTTGATTCCTGTTAAAAGTTTTATAAATTTGCTGACCAAATATACAAAGCATTGGCCTTTGCATGTGCCAAAGTCAAAAAAGGTTTGTCCACAAAGTTATTTATTTTAGAGGTAATTATGTTTCTTAGTCACGATCGTTTCTACATGGCCAGTGTATGATTTTTAGCTTGAAGTTCTCCATTTTAATCCAATTCAATGCTGTTCAATAGAAGTAGCTCCCTGTCAATGATTTACCTGAAAGTAGCACCAGGATGCATACAACAAAGTCACGTGTAAGCTATGATTGTAAGGGGAAGACTTTAAGGTTCTCCCTCCTCGATTTGATTGTAAAGGGAAAGCTGTCATCATTTTTCCTTTGCAATCCTGTCCGACACTAGTGATAACTTAGTCAGGCCATTACACCACAGCTGCACCACTTACTCAATTTGCTAGAAAGTTTGATAATTGAACAACTTAAATGGTGACAATATGCAGGCAATGGACATCTTAGCCTGTGGACCATTAAGTCTTCCCATTCTTAATTTCAGTACCAGGGAGAACCCCATAATAATCTTTGTCTCATGAACACTTTTCATCATTGAATAAGATGTCAAAATACAACTTTGATAAACCTTTTTTAAAGTGTGCGAGGGCTTTTGATAAGAAAAGTATAAAAAAAGGCATAAAATTTTCCTGAAGTGGATTACTGCACAGAGCTATGGTCACTATATAAATACAAAAAGTTCATTCCCATCCTTTCATTTAAATCATTATCTGAGTTCAGTAGCTCACAATCACTTTAATCTCCATTTAGACCGTTTACTACCGGTTGGACCATTTTATCTTATAAGACCATTTTAAATGATTGACCATTTTGACCAGTTGAACCATTTTTCTCTATTCAGATCATTTTCTCTAGTTAGAACATTTTACCTTGAAAATTCAGTTTAACTGATTGGAGCATTTTAGGCAGTTGGATTATTTTACTAATTAGTCCATTTCTAGGTTAAAACATTTTCTCTAGTTAGAGCATTTAGTACCAGTTGAACCATTTTATTTTGTTAAAGACCATTTTAAGAGATAAAAAAAAAATAATTCAAATACTGGAAAATTATAGACGAATGATCAACGTTTTGGCCATATCACACGGCCTCCATCAGGAAACTGCCGAGTCAGCTTAGATCATGCGAGTGTCATGTGATAGCTGACTCGATCGTTCATCTATAATTTTCTAGTATTTGAATTATTTTCTTTTTATCATATTCTCAGCTGGATGACTGATACAATTCATAACCATTTTAAGAGGTTGAACCATTTTTATATCATAAGATTTTTGAATGACTGGACCTTTTTAATCTGTTGGACTATTTTTGTAGTCAGACCATTTTAACCGGTTGGGTCCTTTTAATAAGTTGGACCATTTCTCTAGTTAGGCCATTTTAACTGGTCAGGCCATTTCACCAGTTAAATGATTTTATATACTGCTTTTATAATTATACTACTTGTATTTTAGGCTTTTTTCCCAAATATTTATGTCAGCCAGTTTGGTTTGGATGTCAAAGGATCTTCTTTCTGTCATTGTATTTAAAAGATGTTGCAGCTCCTTGAAGCTGTTTAGTATGATAAGGGATACAAAAATTTGGGGGCTCCTGATGCACCTGTCTGCTCTCAGAAGGTGGTTACTTACCTTCTGTTTAATCAAGGGTCAAATGTTATGCTAATTTCCTTATTATGTATAATTTAAATCTAGGTAAATTACAGTCACCATGTCTCTCCTGGTCTTTTGTAGCCACTTTAAATTTCAGCAGCACTTAACTTGCCTCTGTCAACTACCTGATGCTTGAAACACATGTAATTTTAGTGTCTTATTTTGTTTCAATCTGCAGCTTTTGCCCTTGCTCTCTCTGCACTCTATGAGAGTGAGATTGAAATGAATGTAAGTGAGGCAGATGTTGTTGGTGTCTTGGCTGCTGCCACTTTCTTGGGATTCACTGCTTTGGAAAAATTGTAAGAACCATCCCAGTATGACTTCTCATGGTAAAACTAAACTTTGTATCGCTCATTGTAGTTTAGAGTATGAAATGAAAAATGTTGGGAAGAAGCTATTGTTAGTACATGAAAGAGCTTGTTTTGTTTCATAATTGCAATTTGTTTTGTGGATATTTGAGAACTATGTGGATTTCTCCTGTCTGTAAAATACTTTATCCTTTACTCAGTGAAGTACTTTTTATCCATCTATAATAAGGATAAAATTATTATTTGTCATTGCAAAAGCTATTATAAAATTCCATTTGATTGAAGGCTCAGATCTCCCCTTCATGAAGACTCAGGGTTTTGGTTGTTAATCAATAAAGCCTTTTAAAAAGTTTCAAACTGCAGGCAATTTGAGATAGCAGAAGCTAAACAAACTCAACTCTGAAGGCGAGTGTACACAAAAGTGTCTGTGTCAACTTCAATGTCAAGTTTAAGTTCTCTTAACATAACTAACTGATGTATCTATATGTGCCCCCAAGTTATGGAAATGTCTTCCTAGCTATATTAGGTCTAGTCCCTTTGTCAATACTTTTAAGTAATCTCTGAAAACTTATCTCATTAAATGTTTTTATCTCTTAGGTATTGTAGGTTTTATTATTCTATTGTCTATTTCTTATGTGAAGCACTTTAGAACTTTTGTTTAAAGTGCTATATAAATGATATTAATATATTATTATTATTATAATTGTATCAGATCTCATGAGTGAATGCAATAAAGCATACCATTGCGTTGGGAAATAGAAAATTGCAGTTCCAAACACACCAATGAAAACCTAAGAAAATTCAACGCCCAACAAAGAAGTTGCCGGTATGCTAGCTTAAATTAGACATTATGTTTTTCAGGTGTGCTGATGTCATGTTAAGATCCATTGCTGCTTGGTCTGTCTGTGCATTTCATGCTGCAGCTTTCAAGGTTTGTGTAGAGAGTATTGAGTATACACCTCTTACTAACCTGAAGGCATTATGGATCGTATTAAGTTTAAGAGAATATATAGAGTACCGTATTTTATCGGCTATAAGCCGAGCCTGGCTTAATACGATCGTCTTCAAACATAAACAAAAAACATTCAGCTGTAAGCCGAGACCCAGTTCTTAAAACGTATAAGAGCTCATGAAAAATTTGAATCACATTTAGCTTTTAAAATCTGTTAAAATGAAATGAAAGAACGGGTTAATTATCCAACGGCACGGGCAATTCGCTTGAAAAGCAAGGTGTCATGAATATTTAACGAAAGCTAGGCTTACCTCTCGGGAAACAACTGTTACCTACTCATACAATGGCTAAGAATAACAACAAATCACAGTTATAATAGTAAGCTGATGTGATCCGATCAAATGAATAAAATTGAATTCACGGCTTGATCATATTGTAGTATAATTTCGGCCGAGGGTCGGTTAGCGTCGAGCTCTTTCGATGCTTAGGCAAACGTTGGGTTTAACGCGAGCTCGCACACGGGGTGCAGGACACTCGACTGCTTTACAATCAACTGAATCTCCTTTATTGCTTGAATCAAGGTTCTTATATACATAATGGTAGCTAAATCATACGTGATACAAAACACAGAAGATAATACGAGTTTCCCTTGGAATAAACAACTTGATTACCACGTATCCGCAATTTCACAGATATGGGAGGACACTTTCGTNGGGAGGGTTATTGTCAGGCAGAGTTGGATAAATTATTCAGCGCTCTGGTTCTGCCTAAACTTACGTACGGAATATCAGTATATGGTTCATCTCCACCAGAACTTACTACCATACAATGCTTCCTGGATCGTTGTTACAAACGTAGATACACGTCTTCTCCAGTTTCTATTATCAATTGCTTAGATAAGTCTGATATAGGTATCTTCAAAAAATTAAGCGCGTGGGAACATCATCCATTGCACCACTCCCTTCCCAGGATTAACTCCGCTACCCGTAGGCTTAGGCAAGGTAAGCCAATATATCCACTTTGCAATACTGAGCGTTTTAAAAATTCTTTTATTACTAGACTTAGTTTTAAGCATAACTTAGCTGTAAGTACTTAATACATATTTTAGCCCATTACACTTTATATGTAACACTTGATATGTATTTTATCAGTGAAATAAAGACTATTTATTTATTTATTTATTTATTTATACAGAATAGGCCCTAGACCCTGTCCCTCAGAGCTTGTCCCCTATTCTGTGTGCAACAACCCCAAGGCCACATAATACTATGAGGGAGTTTGTGAAGTCCTGAACAAAACGTTTTCAAAGTGATAAAAGGAAGAATGGCATTTTTATTCTCCATGCCCACAACTTAAAGTGCTTATATATGGCTGTCAAATGTTCTGTCCAAAGAAACCTTGAATGATTGTATGATTTCATTAAGTAACCACTTGGACATCTGTCTTATGTTCACATTTGACATACTTCATGGAACAACATGAGTAATGGAGTGCTGACAATCAAAATTTATCTTCTTGTGCCATGTCATGCATGTAACTGAGTCGTTCAGCCTGTTCATGCTTCTTCCAGTAGAAATCTCAATGTGTGTTTGAAGGTCTGAGTTAGTTTGTATTATAATTTTGAATATGCTGAGTTTATAACTACTTACTATACACAGTATTCACCAAAGCTGTGCAAGAGTTCCCCAAAAGAACGTGAAAAGAAAAGAAAACAATTAATCTCTTTATGCTTCTCCTTCTCGAATATTTTGAAGCCCAAGCCGGAAATTAATCAGGCTGTAAGGGGTTATCAGACCATTTACGGAATTTCTCAAGGATTCCCCCTAAATTAATGAATTTTCCACGGTGCAATACTTTTATATAAATCATTTATTCGTACAATTTTATGATTGTCTTCATCCATGAGTGAGGTGGACTAGTTATATATGATAACTTTAAACCTTGTTTCATTAGATAAATATTATTTCCGTTAGAACAAGCAAACTTCTGTCATGGATGCGTGTGAGAGGTGGCTGGAGCTCAATTTAATTCCACAGGTTTGGATGGACTTTCTGTTTTCTCTTTTTACAACAATGTGCAAATACATGTACAGTGTACGTTGAAAACCTTTGGTTCTTGTGGCGAGGTCCATATTTTTAAAGGACTTTTGAGGGCGGATAACGCTTTCCAACGGTTAAATCGCTATCCAGCGGATAAGAGATAGCAAAACGTACTGCGCTATCCACTGGATAGAGATTTATTTATTCGGTGGATAGCGTAATTCAACCATCGAACAACTGGGGCCTGATGTGTAAGCCTACAAAATTTAAATTCCTTTTAATTCTTCGGAAGGCCATATGAAATGTACTGGAGATTAGAGGAGCTAAATTTGCGGACAAAACCAGTTCAGACCAATGACTTCTTTTCCTCTTAGCTTGAAGGCATGCTTTAGCAACCTGTGAATGCAATGTATGTTAAATTACTTTGCAGTAAGTAGTCTCATCCTTCCTTGTTCAATTTTGTTGCTTTGGAGTTTTCGCTTAGAGGAAGAAAATGCTAAAAGCAACCTTGAAAAGAGGGGGAGAGAAGAAGTGAGGGGCCCTTAAAAATAGCTGTTTCAACACTTTTGAGTGCGGCTTTTATTACTTATGACAGCGTGCAACTTGAGGCTACAGGGTATGTTGTATAAATGGTGGGTACAATAGGGCAATAGTGACGAGCATTGGGCTTTTACGCCTTGTGCAGGAAGTGTGCTGACATCTTGAGCATAAGAGAGTTAGTTTTCACAAGTCAAGAAATATCAATTGACATGTTTGGTTCCTTAAACTGCAAGGATTCCTTGAAAATGGGGAAGGTAGCCTAAAGTAGTCCTTGAATTTTTTGGTCCATAAAAGAGTATTAACCCGTTATACACGTGGCTGACTTTGTAATTATTGTACGGTAACCAAGTAGGCTAAAATGTTTGGATGTCTCAGAGCAGCTAGTCAAATTGTTACAAGGTCAAAGTAATCAGGAATCCTAGCTCTAAATTATGTATGTGAGTAATTCCTAGTGGGTCACAGCCGTCTAAAAATAAAACCCATGGTGAATTAAATAAATGAGTTATGGTCTTACTGATTTGAAAGAAGTTAAAGGATTGTTGATGCTATAACGAAACTTCGTTATACATGTCATTTTTTTGTATTCGTCAACAAGAAAAGAAATATTAATTTTTCGTTAGTCAAATTAAACCGGCTCTCTTTCTGATTTCTTGTAGCTCTCAGTTCAAATATTCTTGAGTCATTTGCCACAGGACCTTCTGGAGAAGTGCTTGAAATCTACTAAGTAAGTTGTCAAGGATGTAATTGTAGTTAAATATATCTTTTTTCCTACATCTTGCTCATTTCATTTAAAAGTTACTAAATGAGCCTGAAAGGAAAGGTACAGGACACAGACTGCATCTTCCTGACCAGGTATGAAGCATGGACATGGTTATGAAATTTGGAGCTTTTATAACCAGCATTCATATGCAATTGTTTAACGCATGTAACGTGAATCAGCGACGGTTTCTGGTGCAGTAATAAATTATTACTTTTTCGCGGAAGAACATTGGGAGTCGATATTTTGCGGAATTCCTGATCTTGCCAAATTGCTCTTGTTTGTGTTTTATCAGTACCCGTTCCTTAAAAAGCAGTCGGTAGCATGTGTAGTCGCTAATTTCACACTTTATTTCTTAGCTCACAATCGAGATCAATTTTATGATTCGAATGTATGAGCCTTTGGAATCCGCAACAACGCTAACTGAAAATTTCAACAACCAACATGTCCGACTCGAAAAACAAAACGTTCCACGTGTTTTCTCCTCGCTCGCTATGCATTATGGGAGGCACAGGCCTCCCAACACTAAAAACAAGAAATTCCCCTTTTTTTTGTAAATGTTCAACAAAAAGGTAACAACAGCATGTGGTCAGTAGTGTGTGGTCCCCCGCCCACTGACGGAATAATTTGGGGAGGCTGAGGCAGCCATCTTCCATCTAGTGCCTTTAAAGTTGTTGAACTGACTTGAAGGTTTGGAGATTGTGCATCACACGTGAGACTAGAATTCTCACAAATTTTTTAATAAAAATTTCTTGCCCAGTTTTTACTTAAAGTTTTAACCAAGCACAAGTTGTCCAAAGGTGGGTTAGTGTGGTGCTAAGAATGACTTTATAAACGCCAAAAGTATTTGTTACTTTCAAGCTACTGGGTTGAATTTCTTCTTTGTTGTTTGTGCTTACTTGTTACATTTTTGTGCACTGTTTCCTTGCTTAAACTACAGGCTTTTCACATGGAACGAGTATTCTTTATACAAGATGTTGGCTTACTGGATCTTTCTTCAGCAACACCCCAGCTTGCAGGTGAACTTATTGTGTGAATATTAGTATTGTTTTTTTCTGTGCAGGAGCAAATTATATGCTCAGATGTTTTTCTGGCTTTGGAGGGCTTTACTTAGTGTATTTGTAATCTTTTAGAAACTATTGCATTCCGCATTTAACGGGTTTCACTAAATCCTATTATCAGCATATTGTGGCTTGCAAAAGTGTGTAGTACTTTAACTTTGATGAATCAATAGTATTACCGTGCCATTTGTTTGCTGGTCTGTAACAAGGCAAAGTAAAAATGCTATGCAAATTATTACAAACAGTGTGGTATTGATTTTAATTTAGGTTTAGTAGTGTTTCAGTTCAAAATATATATGTATTGGAGTAATGTCCAGTTTTAAAAAGGCAGTGAGCCCTCTTCTGAGATACCAATACTTAAATGAATCTTATTTTTATTTCACTGTTGCTATATTTGCTGGTAGTGTAATCAGAAAATGATGGTGACATGTTCAGAACCTTCAAGCATTTTTTGAAAAGTTATTTGTTTCGCGATAATCAATCGCTGTCTTTACATGTTGTACCACAATGGAACCATTACAACGCAATTACGTCAGACCTTTTCCTCTCAGTGTAGTGAAAAACTTTTGTTGAACCGAGAAGATCTTTTTTCTCTCCGACTAGCTGTGTACCAATAACGTTTGCTTTTTTCGATCTACAGTTGATGCCTTCATGGGGAACTGTTGTTACGTGGTTTATGAGGTAAAAGAAATAACAGTCTTCGCATTATATTTAAAAAACATTTTTATCTCGTGTATATAAGTATCGTATTTTCAGTATTGATTTTTTTTGTCAGTCGTACTAATGAAAAAAATTCGTCTTTCAGTTTACCAAAAATCACTTCATTTCTTGAGAGGGAAGAGGTTCGTGTTACTCAAACTGAGGCTGCAAACTCAGGCTTTGTTTTCTAGCTTCTCATGAATGCTCTTCGTTATTTGTTTTAGCCTTGATGTATCATTTTCAAGTGCATGCGACTCATCTTCTTTAGGAGAATGTACCGTAATTTTGTGACAGAGTTAATAGAGGGAACTATTAACTCTGTCTGTGATAAAGATTTATCGTTTTTATGTGGGAGCTTTTGAGCTTTTTCAAATTTGATGCTTTAGTCGGCAATCACGGTTGCAAATGACGCGTACACTGTCCAATTACTCACTATGACGTGTACACTGTCTAATGACGTGTATACTGTCTAATGACGTGTACACTGTCCAATGAGATGCACACTGTCCAATCACGTGTTCACTGTCCAAGCGGGACACGTACACTGTCCTATCAGTGCTCAAATCGGTTAGTGATAACCAATCACGTGCGAAAATTGTGTTATAGTTTTGTGTATGCTGGTGGCTGTTCACTGTGAATTTTAAGTCATTGATCCTGGAAACAACAACAGTACCTCGCGTGCCTTTTTTCAACGTAGTGGTGTAGCCCAATTCTCTCAAAGTATGCGATGTGTAACAAGCTGACAGAGTTTAAATGATACTTTTGTACAGGGTCATGGCTATATGAATTTATTCAGGGCTGTTAGACTGGCTGGTATCACAGAAAGTAAGTTGAAGTAGTGTAATGTTATCTATGTGCAATAAGCTTTATGCAGGTAGTCATTTGTGGTGTGCGATCTCTTTGTCGTGCAAGAGTCTGTTTTGGGCTAACATGCAAGTCATTGTACAATCTGGCCTTCGTTACAGTCAAGAGGAAAGTCGTTTGTTTGCTAAATTTTCTTAACGTGGTTCGTTGGAACTGATTGACCAGATTAGCCCCTATGAGATCGGCTGGAAGAATTCGTTTGCGGTGATTGGTCAGCGTCGGCCCCTTCGGTCGTTCAGTTTGGTTTGCCGTTATGTCGTAACTTATTTATATTTGCGCCGGCAGCTTCCTCCAACTCTGCTCTTTGATAACACTTCCTTAGAGGTTGAAGCGATTGATGATTGTGTGTTTTGTTTTAGGTTCACAGCTTGATGAGCTGCAAAAGATGAACCTCATTCCTCAGAACTGGTTACTACGTATCTACAGCCAACATTATCACGCGGTTAAACATTCTTATCGAATTCTGAAAAGTTTTGAGTTGTGTTTATTCAGTGTTGTTATTTGGAAATCTTGGTGGGAAAATCTTTAACCAGCCTTAATGTCTGATGTCTTGGTATTAACACGCTTGCTCTCTCTCTCTCTCTTTCTCTCCTATAGTTACAAGGAGGGGGTGATATGTCTTTGATGACGAGATTTGAACACGGAGCATTACGTAAAGGTTTCATATTGGAGGAGGTGAGTGTAAAAGTGCTGTCTCTATTCATTCAAGTTGTGGGGCTTCGGTAGGAGCGTTTATTGCAGTTTGTGTCACTTCTTTGTGTTTAAGTTATTCATTTGACTACAACTGAGCAAGTTCTGTCTAGGATGATGCCGCTACTAATAATTTGATCAGACCAGATTTGGTTACAAGAAAATTTTGACTGAAACATGTTTGTTTACAGTGTGTATTTGTCGTTGGCTTTACACTCATACGAGGACATACAGGCTGGCTAAACTGGTTTAAAATTGTTGAACTTTACATCAGCTCATTACCTTTTGTTTTTGGTGCCTTCAGCATTTGAAGTACCACTCGGAAATAATGTCACTTCATGGATTTCATTTCGAAATTAAAGCAGTCAAGGATGAAAGCAATTCCAAATATTCCTTCTTTCTCCAGGTTTGTGTATCTGTTTTTCGTGGTTTTTGTTATGCTTTGCACGTTCAATTTTGCGCCTTGCTCACTGGCTTTCGATGTCATGAGATCCTTCTCTTTAAAAAGTCATTTAAAGCCCTATGAAGTGATAAGCTTCCGGGAGCCTTTCGTAGCGTCTACAGTAATTATTACGGTTTATGTTATAGAGATTAAAACCAAATGATCCAGTGCTATCATTCAGAGCCTGTGAGCGCCATACGTTCTCTATGCGTCATGATAGAGAGGTAAGAACGTAGTCCGCCTTTTACAAGTAGATAACAAATATTGTTTCTTTGGTGTAAAGAATTCTGTATAGCAATTTTTATTCATTTATTTGCTTTTCTCCTGTACAAAGGTACGGTATTGCATTCGTGTTCAGTGGCTAGACAGCGGAGTAAACAAAGTTTTTTCAACGGGTAAGTCGTCAGATAAAAGTTGTATAACTGCTGCTGAGAGCTTGCGGGAATGATCGTTTTCAGCTCGCCTGTCACGTAAAAAGTTACCTATCTCAATTCGTTTTCAAGTATTTATTTTAAGAAAGTGGCTTACATACAAATCAAAAATGGAAATCGTACCGCTCATAAATTTCGCGTTCGTATCTTTCTAAATCAGGGTTCGTATCTATAGTTATGCCTGTGGCCATAAAGGAGTCTATCTGCTTACTTTTTTTTCAGGAATTCTCTGTCAGAGTTTTGGCTTCTCAGGAAAAGCAAAGCAATCAGAGGTAAGCCATGAGGAGTTTCGCGCAACTCCATTTAGCGGTCATTTTAATACGTTGCTGTAAATTTAATTGTTTTTCTTTGTTGTGGAAGAAATCCAAGAGAGTGCAAACACAGACTCAGTATTTCATTTCCCTTCCCCTCTTATCCAGCAATGACTCGAAATCCTTACTGCAATCAGCTATATAAAAAAGGCGCTTTGAAGAAAATCGCAGTTAATTATTTATGTATTGTGCCCACGCAGGTTGTAACAGTTGAAGATGTGCGTATGCCGCTCTTCGTAACCGTGTCGTTAATGTTCCCACCGTCTTAACCTCTGATATGTAGATAGAATCTTGCGCCTCAGTGAAAACTGTTTTTTTTTTTTACTGTTTATTATTTCATACTTGTACATAGTGCTTTTGAAACTCAGTTTTTTTTTCAAAATAATAAGCTGTATCCTTTGCGAATAAAGGTATGCGAAAGTTGTTGGGAAGGTGATAATGCATTGTTTTCTTGGGAACCCCTGGGAACCCCCGGAAGGAAGCTTATGCCTCTCAGCATTGTAGGCTCGTTCTGATTGGTAAACCAACGTTAAGCTGGCCGTAACTCAAACTTTTAGCTCTAGAGGGTATTTTGTAGAGGACTTAGTAGAAGATAAGCAAGAAAGAAGAGTTTTAAAAGTTCTCTACAGGGTTTGGCTGCTTTTCGAATTTTTCAAAGTACTTGTGATAAGACGAAGAAAATGGACTTTCTAGACTTCAAAGACAAATATTAAAGAATTTGCAAAATCTGAGCTTTAAGAACTAATAAAGCTTCTCAAAAATGTGCCAAATCACCTTTAGTATAGGTAATAGGCCCACATGCAATGCAATTTGGAAATAATTGGATCGGGTGAAAAAATTCTAATTATCCAAACGACAACCACTATCCAAACTATTAGTCACTTTTGCTTCTATCGCTCTGCTTTTCTTCGCTTCATGGTTTGCTTTGTTTTGTTGATGAAATGAATTAGTGCTTAAAGATACTAGGGGTGATTATCGGTAGTTTAAATTTTTTAAAACTGTCCAATTAAGGATCAATTTGGATAGTTTTAAAAAGTTAAGGAATAATAGCTATGCTCACAATTTCGGATAAACCGCCAGCTATAGCCGATCGTACAACTATTAGCCGATCGTACAACTATAAGTCATATCTCAAGATACAACAGATTTCATCGACTTCATAGGAAAACAAAGCTTCCGAAAGAGTTGATACTCGTTTCGAAGACGTTACGAGTTTATTTATACACACATATACTCCCCCCCCTCCCCCATTCCAAAGCGCTTACTAGGGAAAGAACTTGGACTGATTTGCAGGAAGACTCAGCCCAATTAAGTGAACAAAATTACTTGCAAATGCACTCAATTGCCATGAGCTCTTTGTGGCACTAGCTTTTGCAAAATTCCCAGTGGCAAAAATCGAAATGCAAATCCTAGAAAAAGGCGCCAACAAACTGCCCGTGTGGAAACGCTACATCGATGACATAATCTCTTACTTGCCCATCAACAAAGATGCTGTCCACTAGTTCATCGACCCAGCAATCAAATTTACGGCTGAAATGCCTGTTTGAGAATGTACTTTGTTAGACACTACTATCTATATGGGTAAAAGATTCCGATAAGGAGTCAGTTTTAACATGCGAATCGACCTTCAAAATCAAAAGAGGCATTCCAGAACACGTTTTACACAACATGTCACCCACGGTAAAAAAAGGCTTCAAAAGAAAAATTTGAAGAGAACATTAGATAAATGAAAACTTTGCTGGCAGAGGGAGGCTACCTGAAAAACTTTATTTACAACCCACTTTCAGTAGTGAAACTTGAAGGAAGTAACGGGTCTTCCTTCAAGTGGGAAAAACAAACGATCGAATCTTGGGCCTTTTTAACACAATACCATCTAACAGTTCCAAACCTTAAAGAAATCCTTATGATAGAGCAAGTGGCATTTAATATAACAATAATCACTGCTCAACAATCATCGCTTAGAGAAATCCTCAAAGAACCGCCAGTTATATTATACAGCTGCAGAAAGGAGTGTTCACCAGAAGACATGCTCGTGAGAGCAAAATTATAACGAAGGCGACTGAAAACCGGACAAACTATGGAGCCATGTAAACACTTGTTACAAATACAGAGAAGACTGGACATACTACGGAATCATTTGGGCCTGTCAACTCCAAAATCTTTGAAAGCCAAAATCCTTGAAAAAATTATCTATGACCAACTATACAATTATCTAAATGTAAATGATTTATTAACCAGCTGCCAGTCTGGCTTTCGCCCCCTACACAGTACACTTACTGCCTTGTTGGAGACAAGCAACAATTGGGGTGTAAATGTTGACAAAGGTCAACTCAAAGGTGTAATTTTCATTGATTTAAAGAAAGCCTTTGACACTATAGATGACGAAATCATTTTGCAAAAACTTGCTAAATATGGGGTGGATCAAGATAATAATAATAATAATAAT